TTTTTTTTTTTTATTTGTAAGTATCGATCACGAATCTTTATTTCAATACACGATAAGTATCTAAAGTCTACTTTAATCTTATACCAAGTAAATAGGAAAATATCTAAATCAATTTTATTTAGATTAGAATATTGTAATTCTTTGCAGTCATTGGGTGTGTTTTGCCGAAGTTAGCGCTACGTAGCGCTACGTAGCGGCTTCATGTAGCAGTTGCAACTGCTGCGTTACTTCTGCTGTAAGCGCAAATATGTTTGTATACAAATCGCCGTTGTATTCTTCGGTTGCTAAACTGTGTTTTTTAATTATTTATAAAAATGGCAAAAAAAGTGTCAAAGTATTACAAAAATGACGGCCACTACTTAGAACATGCTGCGCGTAGCAATACTGTCCAGCAGAAGTAACGCAGCAGTTGCAACTGCTACATGAAGCCGCTACGTAGCGCTACGTAGCGCTAACTTCGGCAAAGCACACCCATTGATAGCTCACAAATCAAGAAGCACGATAGTGCCTCTCGCCAAGTTCACGCGCAACGAAGTGGTGCTCGAACTGCGCGAGCACACTGTGCTTATTATACGCGAGATTCATGCAATTTAGAAGTAGAGAGGTTTTCTCAAGGCAATATTAAAGTAACGACTGAACCGATCAATTTTGTTTTGGTCTTAATCAATTCACAATAAAACATTTTTACAAAAATATTGTTATGTTTTTTTTGTTTGTTTCTGATTTTCGGAGATATGCGACGATAAAGTTTTTGAATTGAGAACTTCACGTTTTTCATCGTCGTGTGCATGTTCGTATGCCTGCTACGAGATGGCATATATATACGAACGCGTTGACAGAAGAAAAGAATAGAAAGAGAGAAAGTGTGAGTTAGAGAGCGAAAGAAAGAATCACGAGGCACGATAGTAGTTCGCGTTATGCGCCCCAGCAACACCTCCGATGTAAAGTTTTTTAAGCAACTGCTTTGAAACTTTGCATGAATCAAGTATACACTACAAACATTCAATTTATAGTAAATTTATATAGCAACTTTATTTAGAAACAGTTGCGCGCGTGTACTTGGCGCCTTTTTTACTTTTTTTTTTTTTGAAAATTTGATATAACAATAATTTCATGTGTTACACATTATAAAATCATAATATAATATATAGCTTTTCGTTGTTATCGATATTCTTGCTCTTTGCAACAGTGGATACTCGTGTGTATTTAGAAAAACCATGTGGTCTCGAAACTTTCTTCCTTTTCGACTTCTGCAATCCGATATCGTCTCGATATCTTCGGACAACCGCCAAATAACCAGCTTATGATTGGAGACAAGACTGGTTTTGTCTGATCTGATAACGAAAAAATCGATTACGTTTGTAAGTTTTTTGAAATTAATCTGCGTCTATTTGCTATAATAGTTATAGTCAATCATAAAGCAATCTCGTTTAATCCGACTTCTTACATCTTTAAAAACTTTTTATATCTCTCCAATATATTTTTACACAATATATTTTAAACAATAGCTAATTTGTTTAGTTTGATTTGTGCATAATATTCTTTAGAAAGGTATTGTATGGAATTTCTTCTGTCATAACGTACTTGATATAATCGAAGAATTCTCGTAACAAACGCGGGTAATGCTCTCTTTATCACGAAGAAATCGACAGTTTTCTCTTTTAGATTTTTTATGTAACTCATTCTTTGTAAATACTCTCCCTACGTATATAAAAACTTGTCATGCTCCAATCCCCTATTATGCGACATACGTAAATTACCATAACAAAGATTCGCTGTTTGCTTCTCCGTAGTCCTTGTCGTGTAATCTTCTCCGGTGTAATGGTGAGAGACGCTTGCAAAAAGTGTCACGCAATCAAAACTTTGTGTAGAATGTATCATAAACTTCTTACTTTCTGTTTTTTTGTGATTCTTCTGTTTGTTCTATGTAACTTACTCGTTTAACAGATCACAATCGGTTGTTTTTATATCAGTAGAAACTCTTGCTATCGACAAATTATCAATGTTATCTCGCTGATCATTGTCCTTGCATATTGACTCGTATTTTTCGGCAATGGTTTTATGAACAATTTCCGAAACTAGTGAGTCCGCTTTCTTACACGCAATTGACGATCTCGTTTTCTACAACAAATTTTCTATTAAAAATAATCGAACTTGTTTTCGTAATTATATCAAAATTAAAGACTTATGTCACGTGTTGTTTTTCTTCTCCTCCCTGTCACGTGACTTTAGCCACGTTTTTAGACACGTCATTTTTTTTATATCCGGCACTGAACGGTTAAATAAAAGAGTGATACAAGAAATTTTTTTCTTTCTAAACAATAAGTGTATGATTTTCTCTTTCCGAAATTATAAATTTAATGTATCTGCGGTGAAAAATTGAAGAAGACTTTATAATAATCATTGTTAATATGTCTTTGTTGATATTCCTACAATATTTCTTGTAGTATTATCTTCGTGATTTTCAATAGACGCGTGTTTCAAATTGTCTTCTATCAAATTTTTCATTGACACACCGCACGTTGAGATATTTGTCTTTGGGAGAATATCTCGCAGACCTATAACATCATCTTTGCGTTTTTCGACGATTTTAGTCATCCAATTGTCGCTGCGTGTTAAATATTTTGAGTTATTATATTCATATTTTATATTTTCAAAGAGCCAATTGCAGAAAAAAATTTACATATTCATCTTTTTATTTATTATACATACATAGTTGACAATACATTTGATTCCGAAAATATGTCCTTGGTGGCAGACTTTTGATGATGACAAGAGTCTTCTCGCTTACGTTTATGTCTTTCATTTGAACTGTATTTTTTGTAGATCTTTTTCTCCTTCTTTCTGCAAAAATCCATACAATATTTATTATACGTAGAGACTTTGCATGTGTAAAATATTAAGTTTCGCAGACGTCACTATTCGTATAATGAACTTTCATTCTTCATGCACGTGTATTGTTTCTTTTTAACTCTTGGTTTAATTCTTTGTGCTTGCAAAGAAAGACACAAAGAATCCATAGAAAAACGCAACTGACCTCATTAATTTATTATCACTGTGGTCGGTGTCGTCTATTCTATCGATGTATCTTTGTCTGTAACTCCTTGAGGCTTGTTTGCATGTCTTTCGATATAGTTCTTGTATTCTCGGTTCACTTTGATCATCCATGTCTTTTGCTTTTATCTTTTCGTATTCAGATTCAGTCGCACATAAGATAAATTTCAATCCGTTTGCTACGAGATCTATTATAACGCAACATGCTCGTCGAGCGTCTGAAATTCAATTACGCTTTTTTACAGAAGTTTAAAAATTTCTTACATTAATTCTTTTTGACAATTTCTTGTGTATTCAATCCATCATAATTATTTAAGAGAAGAAAAAAAGTTATTATCTCGTTACTAATAAAAACAGAATCAAATCTGCTTACCGTTTCATTTCTTGCCGTAAATTTTAAGAACATGAAAAATCACACACACACATGAAAATTTATAATATTCTAAGCAATTTGTTTCGTACAATATTACGATATTGTATGCAAAAAGTAAAGAAAAATCGTAAAAACCATTAGCGATGTTTACAAGCTCTTTCGTCCCTCTTTTTACTCGACTTCATTTTCTCTGTACTACTCACATGAGCGTGACTTGGGCACGTAATACAAAACGACGCCATACAACATTAACGCGATTAACGAGAAGCGCTTCAGGTAAATGATCCACTCGAGTATGCAGAATTTCTCGTCCGAATAACCTGAGCAAAGAAGGAAGTTATTTCAACGCGACGAGAAAAGAGACATCACTTTCTCTTACTGTCTCTGTTTCGCGATTCGGCGAACACGTATTGCATGGCGAGCGGGATAACGAGAACTAGAAATTTCATAATCCTAATCGAAAAATGCATTTTTTTCGATCTTAAGTATTATTTTCCATGTTCCGAAGCACTAATCATACTCTGTTCTGGAAAAAAAGAAAAGTCCAATCGGGTTACGCATGTGGATTCTGAAGCAATGCGTAAGAGACAATTTCACTTAGTTCCGAGTATCCCGTGCGCGCAGTCATGTGCGTAGCTAATTACACCCGGTAATTACGACGACTAATATGGCGATTAGACAATTGCGTCGATAGTTATATCACGCATTTATATACACGCGGCACTTCCGCTTTATACAATATCTTTTTTAAAAAAAAGGTCTCACGCAAGAAATGGAAGAACGGCACGTGTAAGATTCATATATCTTAATTTTTTATTTATGCTCTGAATACTTTACAATATAATACAAAGGAAACACATATCATACGTGTCGATCGTATTCGCTACGATTAACAAGGGTGGGTTATGTGCGCGTACAAAAAAAAGAACGTCACGTCTCTTTTTCAAGTTTCTGCGCGACAGGAATAGCGCAGCGTGCGTATAAGCGGGGATTCGCACTACTCGCTAAATAGTGTCTTTCTAAAGCGACGTCGCTTCGTATAAGCGCCCGGGGGAACTTCTCCGGGTTCGAAGCGACACAGCGTCTAGATGCAAACTATTTAAGTAAGAACACAACTTACGGGCGTTCGTAGTCGGATCTTGTATTTAAGATCGTCTTATTCTCTATGCATGCCTGTATATAGATACACACACACGCACACATATTATGTATAAATAAGACGTCTCAAGAGTCGTCTACGAACACCGTTTATATAGAATCTTTACGAAATACTGTTTAAATCGATGCACGTAAACGTCTGAATTGTAAAGTGCAACGAGCCGATAGGAGAAACGTTTTTCGTTTAATTTTCCTATCGTCCGAGAGAGTAAGTACTGTCCGACGACTCTCTAAAAACAGCCGCCGTCTGTCAATTTATTCGCACAAGAGAGGAAAATACTGCAAACTCACAATTCGAGAACAAGACGAGTTCTATCGCCGAGAAGTCGACACATTCTCGCGAGTTCTATTCTGAGACTACAACAATCCTTCAGCCGCGAAAATCATCTTGCGTTACAACTTACTCTTTACTTTAAATAGACTGCACTACAAAATATATCGGACAGATTGCCAGTGATCGCTGGATTAAGCAATAATGTGCCTCCGTGTAACAATAAAGAGAGAACAAAATATAATAATAATAATAATAATAATAATGTAATAGTAATGTAAATTGTACGCGCGTACGTGCAGTTCTCAGTGACAAAAATGATTTTGTTTTGTTTGCACAAAAATAACTGTTGTGATTTGTGCCTTTTCTATTTGATATTTCGTAGAAAATATTCGAGAGAGCGAAACATTGAGCTGTCACGAATTACCCAATCCGTTTACATGAATAAATCATAATATCAAATATTTTTAAACTTTTGCGACTTTTTCAAATGCAATCGATGCTCGTATACGCGTACAACAGCATGAATGAACGACTTTATACAAAGAAACAGTTGATGCGCAGCGCGACAAGGATGATAACGATGAACATGTTCCACCGAACCTGGAAACTGAAGCCTCGATGCAATTATGAAGATGACGTTTCATTTGCAGTGATTATCTTTCGCAAACTTTCACGGTTTTTTTTAAACTTAATTATTTATGTTCAAAATATTGTTAAAAAAATACGGTAAGTCTTGCTACAATCATATGATAGAAACAGCGCGTTATACACTACGCTTGTCTCGTTAGTTGTCATTTGATAAGTTGTCGAGAATTATTGTCATCGAATAGAGAAAAGTTATTCCGTCGGAAGAGCACGAATTAATATAATTTCGGGGTTCGATGGTTTGCAAAAACGAAATAATCGAATTGGTACAACGAGAAGACGCGGAAAATGTTGTTCTTACGCAAAGTGTCTCGCCTTCATTTTATTAACGGCATTAGTGAGGTGCGTCATCTCAGTGTTAAGTTGAGTGATCAGACCCTCCAGTCTATCGACACTATCGAGAACTTCGATGCGTTGCGTATGCGGATCGTATCTGACTTCGAACGGTCGGCTCATAGTAGCCACCTACAAAAGAAAGCAAATTTAATTGTTATTTACACAAAAATATTAGATTGAGAATATAAAACAATTATAAATACATCCCTCAATTCCGTTATTTTTAAACTTATCAACACAGACGCCGCGCATGATATAGTAGAGTTTCGAAGAAGAAAATTGCACAGAAAACAAAATTAATTACGCGAGTTAATATTGAAAAATAATGTATTCTCGTTCTTACCCAACGACGGAACTTCTCCTTAGCATCCTCGAAGCTCTCGGCTACGTAATATATCGGCTGGTATTCTTGATCCTGATATTTCTGAAGAGCGGTGGTTGCCGGCTCGAACGGTCGGTGCTCGCACTTATCGCTAAGCGCGTGCAACAGCTCGCCGTAGGCCGACAGTAAACCGGCGCCGTAAGCCTTGACCTCGGGACCTTCCTTGCAAAGACCGAACTCGACCGTGAACCAGTAGATGGTTGACAGCTTCTCGATTTCCTCGTCCGAGGCACCGAGAGACGCGAGACCGATTTCTTGCGAGAACTGAGCGAAACTCGGATCGGCCAGAAGCGGCATGTGGCCCAAGAGCTCATGAATGCAGTCTCTACAATTGGAGAAATAAAGGTAAAGAACTAAGTGTCTATTTTTCATTGCTAATGTCGATTCTGAATTGATTAAGATTCTTAATCTGATCGATAACACAATTAGTTGAGACTTTCAAATGCACAATTTACACCAACTGCAAGACTTTGATCAAGTTAGAATGCATCACCAGATAAATGAAAACTCAAGGTAGGTGTAGATTCTTACAATCTCGAAGACTATCGGCAGGTTCCTGGAAATCACTCTATGTGACGCGATCCGCGCGCGCTACGCGGGAAAAACGAGTTCGCAACTGAGCGGAACTGAGTTATCAACGCCATCGCGTCGTTAAAAGCCAATTAGAGCTTCCATTACGAGCTTAAAGAGACGCGGTAATTCTATTATCATCGTTCTCTGTGTACCGGGCGTAGGGGCTCCCGTCATAACGCAATATCGATTGCCTTGTAGTTTGACACGAAGAGGCAGACCGTGACGCGGATCGTAGAGCGACCTTTCCAACACGCAATTTTTAATTAACATTGTTGCTTTATGTCTCCGATGCAGTGTGTCATTATCAAGTCTCAGTAATAGGTACATTCTAGCGTGTACTATCTTTGTATCTTATACGATACACAGAATCATAAAACTTTCCGTGTGAGACAATTTGTCAAAATAACATGTAATTTATTCAAATACAAATGTTAAATACTTCAAGCTGGTTTTGCTACTCAGCTGCATTAATGCATAATTTACGTCTGTTAATGCGCAAGTTAAAAAAATTTCAAAACACTTACGGCTCGGGAGTATGATACGGACTGTTGACGTGGCGAATGTACTGAGTGCTCTGGAAGACCCGAAACGCGAGGCTGGACAGGAAGTCGCGCGCCGTCAGGAGACCGGCTGCCGGTCGCAGAGTGAAGCCCGTGCACTTCTTCAGAAAATCGCTCACCTCCTGCAACTGCGGTATGCGATGCGACTCGAAGATCCTCTCTTCCTGCAGCTTCTTGAACACTCTCTGGTACTCGACGCACGCGTGCTTCGGCACCAGGTCCAGTACGGTATTGAAGACGCGCGACCAGGTCTCGTTCTCCATTTCGGTGTACGGGATGCTGGGTATCGGATCGCCGTATTTATACGCAAAGGCGATCTCGGCGATCACCTTGCGACGAGCGCGGTACTCCTTGTCGGCGAAACCCGGATGGTTCATGTCGAGGTCCGGCTCGTACTTGGTCATCAGATGGTTGCAATTGTCGAGATCGGAGGCGTGACGCGGGAACCATGGGTCCTTGATGCTGACGGAATTGTCGGTGAGCAAAGTCACGCCGTCCAGAGCCGAGCTTTGCCGCAGGTTTCTGATCAGCTGCAGCAAACTCTGCCTGCTCATATCGACTTTGACCAGAATCTCGAACTGCACACCATCCTTCTTCGACGGTCGCGATTCCACATGAGTAATCGCGCCTTTAAAATTCTCGATTGTTTTCAGAATTCTGCCCAAAGAGCCCATGCCCTCTCGCAATCTCAACACCAAGGCTGCCTTCTGCACGCTGTGCTCGCTGTCGGGAGACTCGGTGATGGTCTTTGCGAGAACGACTTCTTCCTCGGTTAATCCGGCATCTGCAAGAGATCGTACATTTCCCTAGAGTTTCGAGGTTTTCAATTTCAAAATTATTCATCCACATTAATTTCTTTAAAATTTCCTACATGATTTGCGTAACGTGCGGCATTTGAGAAAATACGAGCAGTTTGACAATACGTGAAATAAAACTAGCGCTCGCGTCGCGGGAATTCGACCGTGAAATCTTCTCGAGAGCGACTCCTGTCGCGAGTTTTTTCGCAAGAGCACCCTAAGTGATTTCCACGGACGGTAATAATCGGGCAATTCAAAGTCCATTTCCGTGTCGCGCGTCTTAACGTTGGAAACTGTCGCGCGCGAAAGCGAGAAAAGTCGCAAAGTGGCTCCGTCATTGTAGCGAACAAGATGGAAAAGACGGCGAAAAGGAATAACCGTGTTATACATTTACCGTGGCCACGCGGAGTCGCTCCGGGATCTCGAGAAAGGCTCCACTCCGGTAATACGATTCTAAATGCACAAAGCGGCTTTGCGGGGGCGCGAGTGGAAAAGAAACGAAAAGAGCTCGCAGACATAATTCACCCCCCGAGTGTCGGTCCCGAGTACTTCCCCCCCCCCTCTCCTAGTTGACCGTACGTTGTCGACAATGGCACCAGTTTCAACCTCCATTTACTGTCGCTTATATCTTTCACCGCGCATTCAACTTCTTCGCACGTGTTCACCTACTTTTGGTTCCATTTAAAACAGTACGATATTTTCAATTATGATTCGGTGAGGACGAAAAGACGTACTTACCGTCATCATCGTCGTCGTCTGGCTTCCCATCGCTGTCCGACGAAGCCTCCGCTTTCGCTTCTGAAAGTTATAAGTGATTCGTGCTCATGCAACACTCATAAGAAAAAAAACTCGCGCAATCCTCTATAACTTAATCGTGGATGCATTCGAGAGACATCACGTCCATTTTTAAATATGTCGATAAATATTAAAAAGAGATTCTTTTGCGTAAATATGTCATGACGGGATTATCATACATCAATGATGCTAATCAGCGCTGTTCTGTGGAAATGCATCTCACGCTTCAGTTATTCAATGATCGTTATTAATTGCGCAACGCACATAACGCTGGTGTACAAACCTTCCTTCTTCGCTGCGCAAACCAACGACTCCACCTGCTCGTCGTCACTTGATGAAACATCAACGTAATGCTCTCCCTGTCCTTGTTCCTGAGTGCAAGTGATTGTCTGATCGGCGTTTGTGTCTATCCAGTAACAAAGAAACATGTCATGCAACATAGACATCGCACATACAACTAATGCTGACAATGCGCACTATTTCTGTATACGTTACGCCGATAAAATTTTGTTTCTCTCGTGAGAAACACTGAACTAAGTTATATTTTATAAAAATGCCGTCTCTGTTTCATAATAAAACAAATGCATAAAATTATTTTCTAGCTGTATTTTTTTCTACACATCAAACAAACATATACTGATAGAAATTATATATATATAATATGTGACAAAAATACATTGGTCGCACATGCCGAAGACTCACCATTCGCTCGCTGTCGAGCTTCCTCGAGCACGCTTTGCTTCGTCTGCTTGACGACCAGCGTCTCGAAACGGGCATCGTCCACGAGAGAACGTCTTCGCGCTGGATACCCATTCTAAAAATATAAACAAATACAAATAAATCTCGGTGATACAATGCTTTTTTACTAATTAAATTCAAAAAAATTCTTATTTATTTTTATCGCACGCATTTTTTCATATATTTATTTTGTTCACGAGCAATCTCGTAGATTCGACTTGAAACTTTAAAGGGCGGATATCCTTGCGCGTAAATTTGCCGGATTTCGATTTCCGCGGTCTCCGTGCATCCACCTTTGACATGAAGCAAAACGAAAATCTTAGCCCGGCGACAGCGCGACTGAGTGTTCGTCTAAATTGATCAACGAACAAAAGGCACGGAAATGAATTTTCGCGACATCCGTCCTGCTGTCGTTGAAGGATCGGAAATGAATTAATTCCGGCTAGGAATAGTGAGACACAAAGGAGCTCGTGACTGACGTTCAGTCTTTAGAGGAAAAAAATATATAAAAGTTCGTTCCTTCGTCATCGCGTAACTCACTTTCGCGCGACATAATTGACGTCTTTCGAAATATTAATATTTTTTCACGATATACAAAAATTCAATTTTTGATTTCGTAAAATCGCAGAAAATATTCTCTCGCGAGCAAAGAGACACCGGACGACATAAAACTGTCTGGAAGATGCAAAGCTTATTAGATATTTTCTTCTTGACGAAGGCGGACGAGCGCACGTCATTGATCATACAAATTCTTGTCTGTTGCGTATTCGGCGCGACGCCGCGGGGACCTAGTTGCATTCGCTCCAGCAAAACAGTCAGTTGGCACAGTTTAGAGAAAACGTTTAGCAATCCCTTAACGCGTGTGTCGTGAAGTGGGCCAAGTACTTTGCCAACGGAATGGATGAACGATGACTATATACGCGTCGATGAGCGTTGCGACACGGAGGTGATAATGCATCGTGAGAGCGTTTAAACGCGTGACAAATCTCGTTTCGATGAATCGATAAGGATATACACTCGAGGATCAATTAATTTATCCGTCGTAAGCTGTTAGACAAAGTAGTGAATTGCAATAGGTCTTAGTTTGACGCATAAGTGACAAATATATGTAATTACGCGTGAAATATGAGACAGCCGTTCCAAACCCGCCGCAACCATAACTCGACGAATAAATGACGCGAGTGTCCAATCGTGCAAATGGCAAGTACATAGGAATGTTGTTCCCGACCTTGTGGGAATCGCGCGAGCACACACGGTCGAAGTTGCAGAAGAAACGACCTCGAGAATCATTGCAGTTGAAGCGATTACCCGACGAAGAAACTGCAATTAAAATTGCAACAGGATCTCTGATACAATGACTGCGATTGCACCGAATCGAACGCGGACGTATCCGATCAGATAGATATTTTTGTCCGTTTTACTGTAAATCTCGAGATTTGCTCGTACATTACGTGGAAAAACGTTTCTAATGCATTTCTAACGTAGCGAATGTCATATGCAATTACGGTGCTACTCGTACTACAGCGTTAACGTTTCCGAGAATAACGTATTCCAAGGTTGATCGTTAAACTGGCGTTAAAATCACGCTCGCGTAACTCAACCCTTTAACACCAGCTGCTCGGCAACACACTCACGAATCTTCAGTTTTTCTTTCCTTCCACCGTAATATTTTTAAGATGTATTTAAAACGTGAGAATTATATAAAAAAAAAGAAATGTAACGAAAGAAAAGAGCGGCAATGCAAATCGATTCCGAGCATCATGGAAAAACATAACAGTAGACCCAGCGATGGAATCTGAAACGAGCGAGTAATTTTCTGCCTCTTTGAAGTCAAAAAACTCGTAAAATCAAGCTGCACAACTGTGCGACGCGCATCTCTCGATAAACAAATATTTTTTTCATCCTAAAAAAAAAGAGACACGAGAATCGTGACGCTTTTGACCCGAGTAACTAAGGGGTTCAAAGTTGAATATATTGAAAATTTAATTAGCATAACAGGACTCTCGTGCGTAGATCCTGCCGATGGAATCTCGCGAATGCAACGGGAATGCGTGTGTTGCCTCCGAAGGCGAATAATGAGCGTGTGGTCAGGGTCTCTTCTTTCTTATCTTTTTCTTTCTCTTTCCCTAACTTGCTTCGTGCAATCATTTTTTTTTTCTGTTTTTGTTTAACACGTGTGCGCTCTCTTTCTCTGTCATATTTATAATATATTCGTAATTATCGTGCAGAAGCCGAGGCTAAAAATCGATTTTGCAACGATGATATAATTTCTCTCCGCGTCGATCCGATCGGTAGCGATCAGTAATTTCGATACAGAGAAAAAATATATTAAATTTGTCAATCATTCAAAGACTCGGTTTAGATCGGCGCAACACTGTTAATAAACGATTTATATCATTGTTGCTACGTTAACACATGTTGTCAACAATAATGCAATTTGCATTTTGTGAACTAAGAATTGCGAATAAAAATTAATTTGATAATGAGCCGAAAAAACTAGAATACGAAATACCATCCGCGTTTTCAGTGCGGTCGTAGGAAATGTACTCAAGGTCGGTTCACTTTTTATCCTGCGTCTTGCACGATATAACTATCGATCGCGCCGATTCTGGATTCGATTCAGTATCTAGATCCGGGCGTACATATATATATATATATATATTTACAAGTTCCGTTTGAATGAGTCAGACTCGTCACGATTATCAAAAGTAAAAGTCTAAATCACATGAAAGAAGTGCGATTAATCGTATTATAAAATCACATAAGAACTTTATTCGTATATTTGCCTTAATCATCAGTGATCATTAGTGATTTTGCATAAATATTATTGCAAGCTTAAGAACAATCTTAACAACGCGACAACGAGAAGAAACAATTCTTTATGAGGTTCAGGAAAGTAAATTTACAGGCACGTCAGGAGAATCATCGGGAATTTCTCCAAACCGCGTCTTTCCGTAGTCGAAAATTGCCGTCTCGTGACTAGTCAACTTCCTCGTTTACAATCTCGTAGAAACAACTCACGACAGATTATGCTTTTTCGTGCTCGTCGCGAGTGCATAATTCTCGCGATCCTCGAATTTATTATGTAAATGTATGCGTAACGAACTGGCCATTGAACAGAATTCATCGGGATATCAATGCTCCTGTGCTGATACATTGTGTTATTTTTTTTACTACGACTTTTTTTCACGTTTGTTTTCATTTCACATGTTAATCGAAAGATAATAACATCAGAGTTTTCTTTAACTATATATACTCGATCGAATAATTATTATCAAGACTTAATTTGAATTTATCGATTACTCTATAAGATATAAAGAAGCAACTTTTATCAAGAAATTTAAAGATATTTTTCAAATTCAGTAGAATAGTGCAAATTCATTCACATCATTTGCATCAATCGAGATTTTTCTATGTACAAAATGATGTAATCTGGTTGATTAGTTATTCGTTAATATTGCGACAAGGTCATTAACATTGCGCAAACAGAATGAATGGGTGATAGTGGTGCGTATATACTTTCTCCGGACACGAGGGCTCTTCTTTTCTGGGTTTCGCCGGGTCTGTGTGAAAATTTCACTTGCGTTGGTTCTCGCCTGTTATTAAACTTGAGAAAGAAGCGGAACCGACACACATGCGTCTTTAAATAATTTTCTGACGCAATTTTTTTACCCGTTTCTAAATGTACCTTGTTAGTACATTTCAAAAAAAATCAAATAAACTCCCCCTTCTCCCCGAAACTCTAGCTGAAAAAGCAAACATTTACTTATATCTGTGTGTAGAAATCGTATAATGTGGTAATTAAAACATTTGCCGATAAAATGAATGCAAGTCGTGCATAATTTTATCAACGATAATACACATCTAGAATGCATGTATAATAAGATCGAGCTGTGCAATTACATAACATGTTTATCGAAATGTAAAGATTTTCACAGCGAACGATTAGAATTTCCGAGCGAAGATACTCGTACAGATCAATGACTGAGGCAATCGGTTCGCGCGTTTATTCCATCTTTTCGATTGAACCTGTTGCTTACAACGTGTGTACGTAACAATGCAGAAAATCGTTTTAAAAATCATCTTGCGTGTGTTTATTTAATAAACTTTTTGAGATTGTTTATTTTATATAAAATAAAAATCATAAAATTAATAAAAATTTATAAATTAATATATAAAAATTATTTATAAACAGAGATATTATATTTCTTTCAAATTTCTAACGATCTTTACATTATATTTTCGTTCAAAGCCATTATTGTTAGTTTTATAAGAACTTACTTCAATACTGTAAGATTTCTTGATAGCGAACATCTCGCGGTTCTTCTGAGCGGCTGCGACTGCCATCATATCCCGCTTATCACTCTTCTTTTCTGACAGAATTTTCTGGCGATTTCTCGACTCGTTCTCGGGTTGTTCTCGGCCTGACAGAGCTCACTTTGTTGATGGTGGTGCGTGAGCTGTTCTTCACTGCCTCTTTTGCACGATTAGTTTTTCGTTGATATAATAATTCACGCCGCGCCCTTTTCTCGCCGCGAGTTTTAAATATCCCGGGTGAGTATATGTCCGTCTGCGTCCTTTTCAGCCTCGATCCGTCCCCGATACGTTGCTACGGTTCGACTACAACAAACGACCAAGACGGTGGCGGCGACAACGAGCTTCTACTACTCGGATCCGCTTTGGACGAGGCGTACGAGCGAATGCGCTACGGGGCGCATTGCTCCGGCATATAAACCGTTGCCTCCCTTCACCGCCTGCTAATGCCGGAGTGTCAGGGGTGCCCCCCACCGTGTCGTCGATTCGGATGGTCCTCTTGGAAGCGGCGATCATCGTCGCCGCAGGCGCTGTTGTCATTGACGAGAACTGCGATTGACCGCGAAGAGGATCGTAGTCTCGCCACTGACAGTCTTGTAAATTCATTCCGGAATTCCGTGGGACACTGTGAGACATTTTCTCGATTAGGCAAAATAATGGGACGAAAATTGTCCCCCATTGTCCAGGCAACAACGCATTTTACAGGAAACAGAACGGATTTTGATTAAATTGTAAAAATATTGGCATTTCTCTTTTACGAGTAGATATCGATTATTTTAATAAAAATTTTTAATTGGTATATAATTAATTTGATGCGAAAGCAAAAAAGAAAACACACATTGAATATGATAATAAATGTCGTAATAATTATAAGATTATTAATAAGAGATTATTGATTAAATGCTTAGAACGAGTCTTGCTTTACATAAGAATTCCCATTTATGAATATAAATTGAATAAAATCGATAAATATAATATTGAATAAGAATAGAGTATTGAATATCAGAATATAATATTGAATACAGATACGAAAACCTAATCATGCGTTTTTAGAATGTGGATATCATTTTGGGACAAGTGTGATCTATGGATCTACCGATATATTGTTTTCTGGATTTGACCATATTTATAGTTTGTGTCTTAAAATACGGAACTCGATTCAGCAAACTGACGTTTTGTTTATTGAAGAAGAGAACAAAATTAAACAAAATATTCAACTAAATTTTTTTTATTTATTATTCCACATATTATAAAATTTAAAAAACGGCTCAGTTGAGTTTTTTCCTTTATCCTTCGCAGGTACACAAAATTGCTTTACATAAATGAACGGAGTCGATTTTATCCTGTTTCAGAAAAAAAAATCTAAATACTAATTCGCCATCTCTGACATGAGTTTTCCTCAAGTTTTGCGTAAATTCTATTAAAGGTTAAACCACGATCGGCGTCATCAGAACGTGCTTCACGCAATCCGCTCGATTCTTGACGATCGATTGGCTATTTGTACGATCGTCATTTACGTGCGTCACTCGTCGCGTGCGTACGTTTGCGTACGCACGCATGCACGAGTCGAGAACCGTCCGGAGAAAGACATCCTGGGAGAAAATGTCATGTCGATTTTGACGGCTTTCTAAAAGACGCAGCTGCGAATGATCCGATCGCTATCGCGAGCCTCCCGGTAAAGGTGAGCACGCGCGCGCTTAATCGCGCTTGATCGCGATCAAAAACATAAGAATTACCATAATGAATATTTAACGATGACCGTAAAAAAAATTGAAAACCTGCTTCTTACGGTCCGTATAAAAATTTGTGATTTACGAATGCATGCGGAAGAGTAGAAAAATTATATTTAATTCTGCGCGGTGTGTATGCGCGTTGCGTAACGGAAGCTCGAGAGATCCAGATACTTCGGAAGTATACGGTTTGTCCTTGATTGACGATCGTTTCAGATTAGATCAGTATTTCTAGAAAAAAAACCTCATTAACAGAAAAAATAATCACGATCGATGAGAAGGAATTTTTATTGAAATTAGTGCTCAACGTGATCTCGATTGTGTAAATCTGCGATTTGATATATATGTGCGTGCAACACAAAAGCATACGTGATATCTTTCAAAATACAAACAAGTTGAATTCGGTGAAATCAATGCGGAAGATTTTAACGATCGGGAACTTCCTTATATTATGATCATTTGTCATCTCAATATTTGCTGCCTTTCCGTCGTTACTTTTAATTACTGTTATTTTCTTAAAATTTTGGAGTTTGTCTTAAAATTCGAAAAAATGTTCAAAATTGTTTAACGTCCGTGTTTGTTTATTGGTGCCCAAGAGAAAATTTTCCTCGGTTATCTAGATTTTACGACCGACGTCACGAGTTGCGCATGGAGGCGTGACACGGGGAACTCCCCGAGTTGCCGAGCTGGATTCTGCCGATCTCGCGACCGGTTTCTAAGAGCGTGGATTTCCAGTCTGGGAGTTTCCAAGCTGTAATCTTGTTCTGAACAAAAGAACCGTTAATTCGTCGCATTGATAAATCATCTACTAAATAATGCGATCATTTCGCGTGTGTTAATTTGTGCGAATATATGTGTCACTTTGACTTTTTCATTGTCAAGTTAAGTTTTCATTGTTAAGTTGTCGTCGAATCGAGAAGAAGTAGGTGCAAACTCAGTAATTATACACGGAAAATTTTTAACAGTGATGCGTGCGATTAAATAAAAATAAATATACGTATAGATAAATATATGATTATACTATCTCTCTTGAAAATTAATTCTTTTCTAAAAAAAAATAAAATACAAAGTAGGTTTTTTAAATTTTATAATATGTGAAATAATAAAGAGGAAATAATGCAGCTGTAACTCAAAACACATCGATCTGGTTAAACCCAGATCTAATCGTTGCGAAATTACGACCTCAGATATTTATGTTTTGTTATTATTCCATTATCTTATCGTTTGATGTGTATACAAAAATGACTAGGAATTTATCTTCATTAAGCAACAATGCATATGTAATTTTACATTGATTAATAACTTTTATCGATTGCCTAGTGACCCTTGGGACCGAGGAGATTCCCCAGATAAATGTATCGTGCAGCTACTTGTATTTTTTCTCGGAATATTATCTAAAGAACTGCAAATGTAACAATAAATAAGAAAGATTAAAAACAGAGTAATCAAGTAGACAATATTGCACATTATCGCGCGTCGATCTTGTGACATTTTCGGAATATGCCCGAATACAACATATTACGCCGATATTTTTTATCTCACATATACAAAACATATGCATAACAACGTAATTTGCCGCTGTTGTAGCAAACCGTGAAATCTTACTTTCATGTATCAAGGCCACTCTGTATATCTGGAGACGTAGTGGCACTTGCTTTACGTCAAGACTACTTGTTGAGTTCTAGACTATATATAATCGGACATTTCATAAACTCCGAATTGATAAATCGAACAAATTAAATTTACCTGACACGTCTACAAATTGTAAAACATTTATATAATTATATAAATAAGTTGTATACATATATATATGTACAAAAATACAAATTAAATTGTTGTTATAAAAATGAAATCACACACATATTATATCTCGTGTCATAAAGGTCAACAGAATGATAACTAATCATTTATATCGTGTTAGAAACAAAATAAATAGTAATAAATCTAAATTAAAAAAATGATATTAGAAACTAGATTGTTGAATAAGATTGTCTAATTAGTAACGTTTCAATTCACACGTTTGCAAGAAACGTGACACTTATGTGATACATATATTATGTATTAATTAGCGCATATCATTTATTTCACGTTCTCTAATCTCTCTCATTATGTTTTTGGATAAAATAAAAAGTAACTAAATGTTTAATTGCGGGTTTATATATTTATTAACTACAGTACGCGCGATTATATTTAAAAAAAATATATTCTACAAAGTTTGGGAACTCCCTATTGAAAGAAACAAACAGATTTGTTTTTAAATCTCATATTATTTGATTACATAATCATTTCTTATCTTTCTTCGCGAGTATAAAATCTCTCTTCCTCATATTCGAATAAACATTTGTTTCCGAGAACTTGCAGATCTTTTCCTAGTTAGCAAGGAAAGAACGCGAGTAAACTTTTTTCATCTTTATATATTTCTTTCTTCACTAGATAGATTCAAGAATAAGCGATACAATCCAGACTGATTAGCAGACTGTTTATAAATTTTCTTGGTATTTCACATGTGTGTCAATTCAATCCGACATAGCTAATAATTTTATTTAAAAACTATTCAGTATTTCTTCAAGATCAAATAGAATTATGTGCATTCCAACTGATGTTTTTCCTCACTATTGAGAAACAGAATGTGACATGTTACATTTGTGGAATATTGTTTCCTCCAAGTCATTATTATATAAATGTAGTAGAAAAAAAGAGATGATACACGTTAAAACCATATGAAAATGTTTAAATTGCAATAATTATGTAGATATGTTAATAATCGCTCAGTATATTGTACAATTATCGGATAATAGTTTCCTTAACGCAAAACAGATCGATTAGAAACACATCTCAGCGACGCACATCAGTGTTTCATAAGCGGGGGGTTCGAGCGGACTAATTCTCGCGATAATCGAGACATCTGATCGCTATTTAAATTGTCGCGACATATCGTCTAACTGGAGTCGATATAAACGAGAACGTCCGTTAAATGCGTAAGATGGCAGTCCTTAATTCTCAAGCGGAATTGTCATTCTGACATTTAAAACCTCTCATTATGTATATATTTTGTAATTTCTATATATTTTATATGTATTTTGCGCCTACAAACGGCAAGACAGATACATTAATCTGTGCAATATTACCGTAACGTCTTGTCGCGATTAAAGCAACACAGAAAACTGGAATTCTCATTGAATTAACGTTTTACATGCGGCGAATTTACATATTGCATGCAGCCGTAGCAACACGACATCTAGATATGCAGAGAATCGATGCCGGGGAAAGAGCGACTAACTTACGCTATTAACGCAATAAGCACGCGGGTATCGCAATCGTTGTATAATATTTCGCATCTACGAGATAGCCGAGATTATCACGACGACAGTAACACAGACACACGACAATTATCATCTGCCGCGAGTGCCCGTCCGCGCGCGAGCCCGACGATTATATATTGACACCTGCAATTTGTCTTGAAAACCAAATGCCACTGATACATGTTAACCGAAGGCGTGTGCGCGTAAAAAAAAAGAATATGTAAAAACTGAAGAAACTGATTACACGCATATATAAAAACGGCGATTAATATTCCTCGTTTGAGAGGCGTGTACAAATACGCGGGCGTGTAAATCTTTGATTCTTACTCTTTTTTCTGTATCACG